GAGGTTCAGCCATCCGACACTCAAGATCAGGGTGATAATTATAGATTAAGGTCAAACCTAGGAGGTTTTATTGTGAACAATATATAGAGAAACTATGAAAATAATTAAGATATTATATTAATTACTTTAATGTATAAATATGTTGTCTTTGATTTTAATGACTTATTAAGTAAGTTCTTTTTTAATCATATTTACACATGATCGTATTACAATTTGAAAAGTTGTGTTTTCAATAGGTAAATTATGAATAGAGGCAATAGTAGTGTTCTTGAGTCATTTGTAAGAATAAAAAAGTTTACTAAATGGACAACGAACATAAACTTACGGCTACTAACAAACATGATTAATAAGGCTTGTTTGGTCAATCGAGTTGATGGTAGCTGGACCACGCAAGCGTATAATAACATTGTAGAGTCCCTCTCAGCCCAACTTGGTGGGTATAACGAAAAATAATGTCAAAATAGGCAAAAAAGCCTCAGGGATGGCGAGAGGTTCATAACCTTCTTACTGGCCTCAGTGGCTTTGCATGGAGTGAATCCACCAGATTGTTCAAGGCTAAACTAGAAGTTTGGGATGACTTAATACACATGTTCTATATAGTTTTATTTATTATAATAAACATTCAAACATTCAAAATCTCTTATTTATTATGTGTGTTCCTCATACGTAAGCAAAATCATCTAATGCTAAGTGGAGAGTCACTCCCATCAAATACTATGATTTGATGGAGGAACTATTAAGTGTTGATTGTTCCACTGTCACAACATAAGTACAACACATCAAATTTGTCAATGCATCCAAAGACAAACTTATACGATAAATTTGAAGATGACATGGAGTATATCTCAGAGGAGGCTACAATTCATGGTACAACAGATGATGTTCCTCAATCACCCCCATATGTAGATTCAGATAGTCCAACATTGATTTCATCTATTCCATGGAGTAGTACATCCTCTTCTCGGGCTCAAAAAGAAAAGTTTTGATGATAGATATCATGGAAACCCAATTTAATAATTTGAATACCAAAATGGATGTTGTTGTTGAGTAATAGGAAAAGGTAACAAAATCTCAGAAAAATTAGACACATATACTAAAAGACAAGTCATTGTTGAACAGAGAAATGAACTACTGCTCAAGACATCAAACTTTCAACATTCTAGAACAACCATTTGACAATTGTTAGTTGACATGCAAATCGGTAACAAATAAATAATGGATTAGTGTTACGAATTTTTGTGGACGAACCCGTTACATACTAAATGTCTATTTGGAATGCTACCAAAATGTCGTTTGAACAAGTTAATTAGTATGATGTCCAAAAATCAATGATACTATTGTATCTTTGATTTAAAACTATTTAAGTGGGTTATAGTTATTTTAATATGTAATATTGTAATATGATGTACAATACAACAATATGTCTTCATTTGTTTCATTTACGGTTTATAACAAATTACATTATGTTGTATTCCGCCTTATATTCACACTTTTCATATGTTGATCATTTTGTAGACATGACTTCCTCTTATTCAACTACAAGACAATGAAGTGATAAGGCAAAAAAAGAAAAAGTTGTTGCATCTGATTGTGGTTCTTCCTACACAAAAATTGGAGGTTGAAAACTATTAAATCTAACTCGTTGGTTCAACACATGATCAAATGATAGAGTTTAATAACTCATTTTACAGGAGGAAAACTTTAAATCCAAAAGTAATGAATTTCCTGTTATTCGTCAAATCAAAGTTGTACTTCCATTATCATATATTGTTCTACGGTGTGATACATTTTCTTATGTTAAATACTGAATATTACAATGATCTCGTTCGAGTATTTTACACAAACCTAAAGATCATATAAGGGGGTATCTGTACACTGGGTTGGACATATTACTTTAGTAAAAAAAACATTGAACAAAATTAAATATTGTTAACTTCAACGACATGTGACAACATAAAAGGGTAAATTAGGAATATCAAAATGATGACGATGAAGACCCTATAATATCAAACAATGATGCAACTAACATTAAAGAACAAGACCTTATCTATCATGAACTAGTCTAACCACATGCAATCCCCATGATGGTGAAATGCTAGTATAAATTTGGGAGTATTCAGGATATACAAGGAAAAATACAACAAATGGAAGATTGTTTAACTAAATTGAATTTAACTATAAGTAGAGGTTTCGACAATGTCACTTATAAAGTTAACCTTTGAAAGAATAATTTAACAACTTTCAACACTCTTTTTAATAAATTTTATCATTTATTTATTTACTCTTGTTCGATGTTTATTATTATGAAGTATGACCACCGAATTCTGATAACAATTTATAATATTTATTTCTTTTAACTTTTCAATTATTTTTAATTTTCCTTTTTTACTTTTAGAATTTAGTCTGCTATTCATATTATGAAAACTCATTCTTAATAATTTAGTTAACATTAATTACATACACCAAAACAATTTAGTTAACTAATAAAATAAGTTTGTGTTCAATTACAATTTTGAATAATTAAAATTTTCAATTATTTAACTCTATAATTGATTTAATTTTATTAATTTCTATCATAGATAATTACATGTTATTTATTTTCATAAAATTATTACATTTTTTTAACAAATTATTTTCACTTCAATTTAAACTTGCTTTATATTTAGTTTAAAATAATTTTATCAATTAAAATTACAATTTTATTTTACTTAAATTATTTATCCAAAAAAATTTCAAATTAATTTTCCCCAATTTTATTTTATTTTAATATAATTTCATATATTTAAAATTTATATTTTAAATAATAACTCACATATAATTTTAACATTATTTACATTAATTACATTTTATTTTAATTTTTTTTAATACAAGGATAAAATTATAATTTTACCATTTTATGAATTAAAATATTTTTTTAATCTATCAAATCAATCACATGAGTTACAAACTTTTTTTTTTTAACTAATTTTTCCTTAATACAAATAATCTCCCCCTCACCTCTCTTTTCCCTTAAATCCAAACAGAAGGTAAGAATTCGATCTCATGAATAAATAATCACATAGGTACTAGAACGCATTGTCAAGAAATAAATAATATCTCCAAAGTTTCCCCTCAATTTTTGACAGTAATACCAAACAAACTAAAGATTAAAGTGATTATTCTGTAATTTAAAAATATTATCACCCGACACTCTTTTTATGGTTGCCTGAATGACTTTGTGATAAAAACTAACTCAACCTGTTGGCAACTTGTTCGAGAATGACCACCTAGAGGAGCCTTATCTCAAGCGCTTATCACTTGAAAACTATAAGATGATTATTTTAGCATCTGTGTCAGATATGGTTAATGTTTGTCACCATTGAGGTACACTCCAATGACTTATAATGATTAAGAAAACACTTCATCGTGTTCATAGCAAATTCCAAAAGTTTTAGAGGCCACTTCATCCATAACAAAGATGATGGTCCCTACCCTTCCCATATGAACACACGTACAATACAATGCTAGTCTACTTACAGTTAAGAGGTAATACACCCTCAAAAGCAGCAATATGCACTGCACCTGTTACTCTTCCGTGTGTCATAAGAAATTAGAAGATAACTAATAGAATCAACCTAAGTATTGATTGTAGGTATTGCAGGCATTCTGACCTTCCACTCTGAGATGAGGTGGCTAGGGGATAAACATCAGTGAGAGTTACTTAGTAGCCACTATACCATCCCATTGTCAACCTTTGTCACTTATCAAGGTCTCTTGGTTTTCTTCATGTCTCTTCATGTTGTTGGTTTACTAGAACAAGTGATGGTATATCAAACAACACTAATTTATGTGGAAGCTAGATGTAGGTAGGAATATTGAATGTGAATGATAGGTTTATTGTATATGTAATAATTTTGCTGTTGTGTTAAAATATTTAAAGGTTGTGTAATTTTTTATTTAGTTTAGTCATAATTTGTTGTTTGTTCTGTTCAAATAGGAGTTTTATATCCTTTTTATTATTGTTATAAATTATAAAGTGTGTAAAAATAAAATATCAACAGATCAATTTTACTCATTTCTTCTACTCAATTAGTTATATTTACTAATTTTTAAGGATACATGAAAAAGAAAAAATAGAGATTTTGTGGGATATAGTAGTAATTGGAAGCAATCTAAATTACCAGAAAACCAAATGAAGCTTAAACGAGAAATCACAATATATTAATGAAGTGACAAATACAACACTATACGATGATGTGTTGTCAAAATTCCGACTCTCGAAATTATAAGTGGTGTGGAACAAGCTGTAAGAAGAATTCCAATAGAATAAATGAATATAAAGAAGAAAATTTGAAGGTATAAAAATGAAAGGAAGTGAATTTGTCAAGAACACTTTCAGACAAACTTTCTGAAGTGTTTCACAAATCAATTGGCATGTTGAGCAACTTTCTGCCAAAAATCAAAGTAATCTTCTGTATGGTTTTTCGTTTTATATAATCATTATTAACGCTTTAGTTACAAACATTATGGCTATTATGATCGCCGTAGAACGAGCGAATCACTCATTCTTCTCCTAAATTGTCATTAATGTCAAGATGATGAGTTGTTGTTATTGAAACTCCAATATGTACAAACTATATTATAGATGCTATATCTGTGTCTGATGATGTTGGAAAGAGAAATTACTCCTATGTTTTAAAAAACATGAGTCACAAAAAGTAGTTTTTGTTATCTTATTTGTAAGTTTAGTTAAAATTTACTCGTGTTCAAAATGAAACTACCATGTGAGTTCATAATATCTACTTTTAGTTTAATCATAATTTGTTTTCGTTAGGGTTTTTATAGCTTTTTCATTTAAATTTTTGTTATAAAATTACAAAAGTTGTAAAATACTTTTTTTAATACTATAAATTGAGTTACTCTTGTACCCACATTTAATAAATTTTTTTCTGACGATATAAAAAACATTAGAATAATTTGACTTAAATGTGAGAATTACCTTTCCCTATCGTAGTCACTGTCTAATCACTAAAGAAATAATCCATTTTCTTATGTAAATTTGTTAGTTGAAGCAAATCACAACTAATAATAACTTTGTTAAATCACTTAAGATATATTTTTATTTTTATAATGACAGTTTTTTTATCCTTAATATGGTAAAAACTTTATTCAAATTTAGCTCTGCATTTAATAAAAAATAATGTCGTTTGAGTCTCTCATTAAATTAAAAGCATTTAATGTTTAACTGATTTTAGTTTTTGATGAGAGAATTAAGTTACATTAAATTTATTAATGTAAAAACTAACAATAATTTTTTTTAATAAAAAAAGATATGATGTGTAAAAGTACAAGAATAAATGTATAAAAAAAATCAAGAAAGTACTAATACCAAGATTCATGAAACAAAAAGTAAAAGTACTATTCCTGTTTGTAAAAATTTCATATCCTATAAAATTATCTGGGATTTCAACTAATTTTTACATGGTTAAGGATTATTCAAAACAAAATACCTAATTAATTAATGGCATTGAAATTGTACGAAAAATGATGTCTAATATATTAAAAGGTGGAGTACAAGGGTATCTTATCTATTACTTCCATGTTAGTAATAAATAACATAGCAAGATAAACTTAATAGTGGATTTGACCACCATTCATAAAATGACATGTGTAAGTTCTAATTCAGCTTTTATCCATGCTCACATTTTTTATTGGGGAGTCAATTAAAGTTTGAAAAGTGATGGTTAATAAATTCAATCTTACAACGTTTTAGATTTGAAAGTAAACTTTTGCAAAAGTAGTCGAATAAGAATTAATGTTGATTGGAATTTTATGAAAACTAATGCAGATTTCTAAAAGTTTAAGTTTAGTAACATTCCTTTTGAATGCTAGGATAGGTTCTAACAAATGAATTTTCATAATCTCAAACAGGAAAAAAAAAAGCTAAATAATATGTAGGTTCTCAAACTATAATCAATGGTTTGTAATAATATCCCAAATTTTAAATAATTTGTTATTGAATACCGGGTCTTATTTTATTAGGGTTTCGTCTAGGTTATGTTAATTATAAGATCCTAATTTGAATGTTTCAAACAATCTAGAGAGTAACCCATTAGTTTAATTATTTCGTAAGTCCTCGTTTAAAAATATTTAATTAGGTTTTTATTTAATGAAACCCTAACAAAAATGCAAATGCAAACCTGTCTAAGAACGATAATAAGTTTTAGGACCTAATTATAAAAATTTTTAGCAAATTTAAATTTTTTATTTTCATGAGGATGACTACTAACAATTGCCCACAACTTAAACAGGTACAACTTTTCCAGTCATATTTGAAATAATTTCCTAAAAAGTTCAACCTATTAGAGCATTAATTGTAATACATATTTATGCTAAATTGGCTTTAAGATTTCTCAGGATGGATCATAGCATCAAAACTATACTGTTTAAAATAACCTTGTAATTAGAAAGCATATCATCATCCAATAACTAGTTTTCTTCACTATGCTTCACATAGCTCATGATCAGAGAAAGAATGTCATAAACGGGTAACTTGTTACCCAACTTTTGTCTCATGTTAGATCAATAATTCATACTAAAGCTCTTCGAAAATGAGAACCAAAAAATAACTTTAAAACTTTAATGTCATTTGAAGATTAATTTGTTTTGACCAAACTATCGATTGAGTTCCTTGAAGAAGGATATCAGATATGAAACTGATAAGTACATCACAATGGAACCGATAAAGAACATATAGAATAAGAACACTATTTCAACTTTTATTGATAACAGACAATATAGTGGAAATAATTTGTTAGGGAGTTCATAAATTGTCAGGTATAACTATTACTGGATAATATTTCAGTGGAGAATTCTGCATATAGATACACAAAAACGGTTTATTTTTACTGGTATAAATAATTGAATTCAAGAAAATGTTTGAAAACAATATAGACAAGAGTCTATATCTTGTCGGAGAGATGAGGAGTTTTTGTCCGAGTGGGGTAAGGAGGAAGGAAGAAGACAACTATTTCTATCCGAGAAATATAATTTTTGTTAGTATGAAGATTAAGCACTAGGTTTTACACTGGAATTCAGAAAAGCATGAAGCTCGTAGGAAACTTGTCGGTTTCAAATGCAGGCATATAGACTGTTGCAGCACAAAGTATGTCTTACCCCAGAAGAACATTTTTTTTCTTGAAGATTTCACGGTTAAAAACATGACGAGAACTTTTTAGGTTTGATAATATTAATGTATAAAATTAAGCACTTGCTGTAGTGTACTATCATCAAAGAGAAAAAATGTTTTCTTTTCTGCAAGCCCGAGTTCAAGTTTTGACAGATTCCCAGATTTCATTAGTTAACTGAAATTGAAACCACGCCAACCAAATTCAAATGAACATGTATATATCTTTATATTCAATAAATCTTTCACCTAAAATTATATGTGAGTTCTTCCCTTTTTCCCTCTTCCCCAACAAAAAATAAAATAAAATATAAAAACATTCAGAAATATAGATGTTAAACAAAAAGAGAGAAAAAAAATTTGAGTTTAATTACCTGGTGTTTGAATACTCATAGAGCTTGCCCGTGCAGGAAAACATAATCAGTCCAACTTCTGCATCACAGAGAACAGATAGTTCTCTAGTTTTCTTCGCTAACCCATTTCTTCTCTTACAGAAAGTTACTTGCCGATTCGTCAAATTTTCGATTTTTTGAATGGGAATCTTTCCTCTCCCCATCTATTAGGGTTTTAAGCTTCACCAAATTTTCTTGTAATCTTTTGGTGTAACAATTTAACGATATCTGAGTTATCGAAGACTAATTCCCAAAATCGTCTTTCACTGTAAAGAAATTAAGAAATTGGAATAAAATTAATCGGAAAACACGAGGGAAATTGCGTAATATATAAACAGCAATGATAAATAGTGCAGACTTACAAATAACAAAAGTGAAACTTACTAGGAAAATATGGCTGCGAAAATGACGGTTAAGGAAGAGTTGAAGAGGAGGAAGAAAAGAAGTTCTGGTTGCAATTTATAATGCTTTGTAAGGAAATATTTGTTAAAAGTGGTTTTTTTTTTTTTTTAATATTTAGAAAAGACAGTGTTTGAACAAACAGTCCCAATCGAGGATGACTGTAGATTGATAGAACTTGAATTACCCAATGGTAATAAATTCACTGGTCTAGGGTTGGTTTGGTTTATGAATGGGAAGAGAAGAGATGGATAACAAAAAATGGATGATTGGTAGTTTGATAGGTTAAGAAGAACTTTATCCTTCCTCTTCTCTCTATATATATATATATATATTTTTTTTAATATCCATAATATGTTAATTATAAGCGCTTTTTTATTCATTTTTTTCATAATTTATTATAATGATAATTAAAATAATATTAATATAATAAATAAAATTATTATTTTTATTCATTTATTTACCACCAAATAATTAAATTTGTCAAAATTAATTGTGTGACCATTTCAACTTATCATTTCATAAATTTGCGTTGATTCTATCCCATTCATATTTTAAATTATTACGAAGTTGAGGTTTGGTCTAACTCTACACCTCGTTTTAGGGCATAAATGGTAATTTCATCGGTTTAAATAAAAAAATTATAGTGGGTATGATTTATATTTTTAAATAATTTTTTTAATCCATTCTTATATTAGATTAATAAAATAAAATAATGAATTAAAATCGACTTGGTTAATTAAAAATAATATATTTTTAATTATATTAATAAAATTAATTTTTGTTTTAAATATAATAATTTAATATATAAATTATAAAAAAATCCATTTTAAATCAAAATAAAAAATAAAAACTTATTTGTTATTATTATTCTTATTTTTTAACAATAATTTATTTTAATTATTAAATCGTGAAATAAGGAATGTTAAACACTATTTTCTATATTTATCATTATAATAAGAAAATATTTTAGAATCGTGAAGTAAGTAAAAAATAAAATAAACAATTAAACATATTCAATTGAAGAGAAATAAGAACAAATAGTGAAAGTCAAAAATAAGAAAAACATAATATAATAATTTGTTTCATTCTTAAAACGATTTTCATTTTTTTTTCTTCTCTAAGCATCCAAACATATTTTATTCTTTAACTTTTTTCTTGATTTCTCACCAACCAAGAAGGATAAAAACGGGTAAGAAATAACACAATAAATTTCATCAATATATTCTTCTCTAAAACAAAATAAGGAACAAATTCATTTTACTCTTTTTAATTTTTAAATTTAAAAATAGTTAGTAGTAAAAATAAGAAGTAATTTTCGTACGTGCAAGAAATATAATTGAAATCGTACAGATGTTATTTGGATGTAAGACGAAACCGTGGGCGCTTAGTTTTCGTACTTCCGGTTTCGCATCGCAGTGAGAGGGAAATGGAGAGTGCCTCGGGTAACAATAAAAATGCCATTCAAATAATTTTAATTACTTTATTATACACATATTATTTCAATAATCTATTCACAAAATATATTGATTAATAGTTTTTTTTTCTCTACCGATTTAAAAATATATCATGTAAAGATTTTTTTTTAAATATATAATATTTGTAAAATTTAAAATTATATTAATTATTTTTATTAATTATATTTTTGTCTTATAATCATATTTATTTTAAATAAAAAATTATATTTTGATTAAAAAATATTAAAATTATAAAATTATAAAAGAAATTAATAAATTTATTAAAATAATAAAAAATAACATTTATTTTAATATATAATTTATTCTTAAATATCATATATTTTCAAACGATAATAATAATAATAATAATAATAATAATAATAATAATATATAAATATAACCTCCTTTAGTTGTTCCATTCGTCTTTGTCTTGTATTTATATATAATTATATAATGTCATAACCAACTAAGTTGTTTAAATAGTTCATTTAATTAATTATTTTCTTTTTTTATCGTAGTTATCAATCCAATAATGGCTGATATTCAGTTTTCTATTTTTATTTTAAAAAAATTATACATTTTAACCTTTATTTATTGTAATTTTGTCCCTTTTTCATTCATTTGTAACTTATTATGATATTATCTGTGTTATTAAGTGTTTTTTATTTGTTCATGTTATTAAGTAATGTTGTTATCATATTTTAGGCAAAGAAAATAATGGTATATATGACAATTATTAAAAAAAGGATAAATATAATAAAGAAATTTTTATCATAAAAATTATTACAATTTTTTTTAATAACTCAATGACTAAAACTAAATATAATATACGGATAATATTTTATCTTAAAAGAAAAAAAATTGTATTTGATTAAAAGTTTAATAAAAAAAGGAAAGAAAATAACTAAAATGTGATGATTTTTTATTTTTTGACAATGGAAAATTATATTTATATAATATTTTAAAAAGGAGATTATTCATTACTAAAATATTAAAAAAAAAAAGAAACATAATGCATTATATGTGTTCTTTCTTATCTAAGTCATCATGGAATTAAATGGTGAAATAAAAATGAGATTTTTTTTTCAATATTAGCTGAACCAAGCAAAACATTGTGAAATTAAAAAAAAAAAAATCTTCCCATACATAATGAGAGGAAGGAAATATCAAGTTTTAGTTATTCTAATGTTAAATCAGTTTTTACATTAGCACACGAATTTAAACAAATTAAAAGTTACTGTAAAATATTTTAGCAAAAAGTAATTTTAAATGTTATCATAAAGTAATTTTATATGATTTGTTTATTTATTTTTATTTTCTCTTTCATTCATTTAAATAAAAAAATATAACATTTTTTTTTCATTTTTTGGCTTATATATTTAAACAACACGTTTAATTTTTACTTTAATATATCTTTCAATTATTGAGTTTATATAAAAAAAATAACTTTAGGTGTTTTTATTTTAAAAACAGTAGCATTCTCGTGTCTATAAATTTTCTTCAATGAAAACGTTCCATTTTATTAAATAATTAATATTCTCGTGTCAATAAATTTTCTTCAATGAAAATGTTCCATTTTATTAAATAATTAATAGAGAGAAAACACATTATTATAAAAGCTATAATCTTTTTAAAGAATATAAGAAAAAATAGAAATAGTTTAAAGGTTAAATCGAAAAATAAACATAATCAACTTATGTTTTTCTTTAAATGTTTTACTTTTAAAATAATATAAGATTAGGGAAACATTTTCTCTACTAAATGGTATATTTGTACACTGTCAATTACAAACATATCTATCATAAAATTGCAATAAGCAAGTTCAAATATACAATATTAGAAAGGACAAAAAAAATATTTGTTTAAATACTTAATAATAATTTTAATAAAAACATGATATATATATATATATATATATATATATATATATATATATGAGATAGAGAGAGAGAGAGAGAGAGGTTTGTCACTACAACAACATTTTAGTCGTATAAAATATTGACAAAAAAATAATAAACAAATTACCGAACTAATACAATATAGGCGACTCGTGTCGAATAGACATGAAAATGGGGAGGGGCGAGGTGTGGGTTAGTTTTGCCTTCCCGATCCTTGTCTCCAACTTTTTTAACCGTCTCCGATCCTCGTTGGGATTAGAAATAAGTTCTCATTCCCATTGAGTTTCGGGTTCCCCATCTTCACCCTATCCCCGATCTACATTATTTAAAAATATATATATATATATATATATATATATATATATATATATTTATAATAAATTAAATTTATGATTTTTATATATTTTTATATTAAAATATGTATGTAAAAGAAATATTAAATCAAGATCATAACTCACAAAATATTATCATGGTCAAGTATTCCTTAAGGGTTTTAGGACTCATTTCAAGGGAACATTTTCTCGTGGTAAAATGTTTATTCTAATCTCTCTAGTGTTTATGTTGCAAATTTTACTCATCACCACATTATGACATCATCCTTTACCATAGGTTTGAAAGGTCTCTAAATTCCCACCATTAGAATACATACATCAATAGATCAATAAGACTTTTACTTGGTTTGTAATGAGACTAGGGTTCAAGATAGGTTATTTTAAGAAACTAGGCTAAGACTTTAGGAAAATATAAAGAACATGAATCAATGCACCTTGAATCTTTATTCTAGTTGCATCTTTTTGTTTTGTCACCTTTATGTTAGAGTATCTTTTGAGCTCTTTTATTACTTTGATAGACAAACAAAATATTTTTTTCTTTTTTTTTCTTTTTTTCTTCTTGATACTTTAACACTTCTCCTTTTTCTGGAATTGTTGGCGGTGAGTAGAATTAGATTTTTGTGATGATTCCACGCTCCTTACTTCCTTTTAAGCTTGAGTATGGGTAGTTTTTGGATTGAAAAAACTTTAATTGTCCGGTTTAAATCCAAGAAAAGGTTAAAGCTCAAATGTGGGTTCAAAGGATAATTTGAGATAAGGGTAGACTATTTGGTTAAGTAGTTAAGACAAAGAAGACCTAAATCATTTCTATTGGTGTATATGTTCATCTAATGTCATAGATAAATCAATCAAGTTCTGAAATGTTCTCATGTCATGAGTGGCGCACATAAGAAGGAATAAGGCTCAAAACTACCTGGGTGCTTTGTTCACCCGAAAATTAATCTAAACCAATGTTAATGTAACCCAGCCATAACTTCCTATGTGAATCAAACCTTTTAAACTTTAAACTCTTCCTCCTTATCAAGTCAGTCATCTTTTCCAAAGTAGTATCCATAAATGTACAACATTAAAGCAGTTA